AGTGACCATACTGGTGAAACTCTCCTCTAACTCTCTGAGGGTACCTACAGTGACAGCATGACAAAGTGGAATTTTTTAAAAGCCCAGAGATTCAAGGATATTTTCAGAGTAAGACCTTGAAAAAGAAGGTCCCAGTTCTCTTTCCAGGGGATCCATCTCCACCTTTTCCAGGCCCAGTAACCTGCATCCTTTCTTCCTCTCCCATTTGACTCTTCTAGGATGAAAAATGCACAGCATGGTATCAAGAAATATGCCTTCTCGGTAATGACCGACAATCATCGACTGCAATAGGTGTTCAATAAGTGCCCGCTGAACTGAATTCAGCTGCACAGAAAGAAAAAACCCAATCAGCTGTATAAGAAGAGAGTAACTAGGCTAATGAAGCACAGCTCCACGCCTCAGAAGAGAAAAAAACAGAGGTTCTGAAATGAAACACTCCGGGGCCAATAATAGGTTCAAGGTAGTCCCTGATTTATGATGGGGTTCCGTTCTGATGACTCTATCATCAGTCAGTTTCTGACGTAAGTCAAATACCTCATTTCATGTTAATAATTGATGCTTCTTAGGGTACAAACGCTGAATAAGATCATGCTATAGGCCTGGTCTGCAGTGAAGTTGGGGTCAGTGTCATAACAATGAAGTAGGAGCGGTAACTGCTATGAGGCATGCGCAGTTCAGTTGTTGTATGTGTGGAGTTGAACACTGCCCAACTTCCTATCTGTTATGACTCTTGACACTGACACTGACTTCATCGTACACCAGGCCAGAGCCTGCTATACGGCAGTGTTTTGAATGTAAATCATAAAATCAAACATCTGCGAGTGAACATCTGAGAATGATAACATCTGCAAATCACGAGCTGCAACACTATATGTAGTACATATTATGAATGATAAAATGTACAAAGAAAAAAAGGACAGTAGAAAGTGCAGTTCATTGTAACTTGAATATGTCATAAGTTGGAGACTACCTGTATATGTCATCTATCATATATGACCCAGTCTGCCCTACACGCCTCTCTATTCATTCACTTATTTACTTTGAACATTTTGTGTGGTTTGGGTGAAAGTTTACTGAGCAAATTAGTTTCCCATTCAATATTTTATACACATTTTGTTCCGTGACATTAGTTGTAATCCCCTTAAAGGGACAGCACTCTACCCCTTCTTCCCTGGGTTCCTCGTTTCCATACGCCCATCTTTCCTGTCCCTTCCTGTCTTCTGAACTTTATTTTTGGGCAAATGCTGCCCTTTGGGTCTCATATGGTTGACTGTTCTGAGGAGCACCATCCTCACTGGTATTAGGATTCACTTTATAGGTCTGTCTATTGTTTGGCTGAAAGGTGATCTCCAGGAGCAGGTTCTGTTCCAGGTTTGAAGGATGTTTAAGGGCCATAGTCTTGGGGTTCTACCAGTCTTTATTAGACCAGTAAGTCTGGTCTTTTTTATGAATTTGAATTTTGTTCTACATTTTTCTCCCACTCTGTCCAGGACCTTCTACTATGATCCCGATCAGTCAGTAGTGGTAGCCAGATACCATCTAGCTCTTCTGGTCTCAGGCTAGTGGAGTCTGTGGTTTGTGTGGTCCATTAGTCCTTCTGAGTAATTGCTTCCTCGAGTCCTTGATTTTCTTTGCTCTGGTTGGGAAGAGACCAATAGTTGTATCTTAAATGGCTGCTTGCAAGCTTTAAAGATTCACCAAAGTAGGATGTAGATCACTGTCTTTATAGACCATGTTATGCCAATTGACCTAGATGTCCCCCGAGACTATGGTCCTAAGCCCTCAAGCCCAGTGACCCAGTCCCTCAAGGTGTTTGATTATGGCTAAGAGGTTTTCATAACTTTGCCCCCTGTGCGCTCTACTATATACTAAATATATATGGATATATTTGCAGCACATACAAAGACACAGGTAGAACTATCCTCCGCCAAACTTATATACGCTCATGGGTGTACTCCATCCCACATGTGTTCAGCTTACATATCTACCTACGTACCCACTCATAAATTACTGTTTGTTATTACTGTTATTGCAGGATTATGTATGTAATAGTACTTACCATTGTTTCCTTTTACTCTTGCATTCCTCCCAGTGTCTTCCTTTGTCTCAGTCATGATGTGCTGACATCTCCCTTATTGTGTATTGCCTTTCCCTTCACCCAAGTTAACATGTGTCTACTATCTAGTTATTTTCTACCTTTCCCCCTCTCACCCACGGTAACCATCAAAGAATGTTTCTTTCAGCGTGTAAACTTTTCTTGACCTTTTATAATAGAGGTCTCATACAATATTTGTCCTTTTGTGACTGACTTATTTCACTCAACATAATATCCTCCAGGTTCATCCATGTTGTGAGATGTTTCATGGATTCATCATTATTCTTTAACATTGGGTAGTATTCCATTGTGTGTATATATCATAGTTTGTTTATCCATTCATCTACTGATAGGCACTTGGCTTGTTCCCATCTTTTTGTTACTGTAATTAATGCTGCAATGAACATGGGTATGCGTGTATCTATCTGTGTCATGGCTCTTATTTCTCTACAATATATACCTAGTAGTAGGACTGGTGGATCATAAGGTATCTCTAACTTTTTAAGGAAGGGCTCATACCATTTTCCACAGTGGTTGTACCATTTTACAATCCCACTAGCAGTGTATGAGAGTCCCAATCTCCCCACACCCTCACCAGCGTTTGTTGTTTTCTGTTTTTTTTGATCATTGCCATACTCCTCTCAATTTACCTTCACCAGAATCTTCCTCACTTTTCTCTCAGCTATACCCTTCTTTCACTGGGGGAGGGGAGAGTTGTCTCCAAAAGAAGGGAACAAAGTCACGAATAATTGCAGTCCCTTTTCTTCTGGAGTAGTCCCTGGGGGTACAAATCGTTAATGCACTCACTACTAACCAAAAGGTTGTTGGTTTGAATTCACCCAGAGAAGCCTAAGAAGAAAGGCCTGGCAATCTACTTGTGAAAAAATCAGCAATTAAAAACCCCATGGAGTACAATTCTACTCTGACACACATGGGGTCTTCCTGAGTAGGAACAGACTCAATGGCAACTGGTTCGGTTTTTGTTTTTTTCCCTCCAGACCATTGTTCCATACCTTCCCAGATCCAGCCTAAGCAGTGGAGACAAGGCTTAAGTGGGAATGTAAAATCCTCTACATTTACCTCAACAGTCCATTCCAACATGCAAACTCTTAGGAGGGTGTGAAATTAGCTCAGCTTGTCAATCAGGGGGCACCGTTGGACTCTGACTAAATGCTATCAAATGGAAAAAGGAAGAAAACTTTTGAAGATTAAATGGAATAAGGAAGATTTTTCTCAGGGCAGGAAAGGTGCTTCTAATTGACTTCTCACTGCAGTGAAGGCTCAGCCAGGGCCCCAGGCCTTACTCCTCTGGAGAAGGAAATTAGAAGGTGGGCTGTGAGACTCACAAGCCAGAAACACAGAATTAAGTGCTACAAGATGCATTTGCTAGCAGCCTGCTAATAAGGAAGACCACACACCAACTCTCAGTGCTTGTAATTTCCAAGAGATATTTTAACCATCATTTGCTCTGAGGTTCTTGGGATGGCTGTGGGGTGGTTATGGGGCAACTTACAAAAAAAAAAAAAAAAACACCAGAGGATTGGACCATTCTGAGGAACCAGAAGTAGCAGTCTAGGAGAGAGGCCGCCGGAGGAGCTACAGCTCACGGAATCCGGGGCCATGAGCCCCTTAGCAAGGCTGATTTGGCCTCCATCCCCAGAAAAGGCCCCTCCTGGCCACCTTATACACTGAGGGGAGAGAGGTGCCTGAGTCTCACAGGAAAAACAGGGCAAAAGCATTTGATTCATTTGTGTTATTTTCTTAAACCTTAAAAATGGAGGCATTCGCCTTCAGGCATGGCATCATCAGGGAGCCATTACTACAACAGCTCAAGTGGCCACAGTAATAAAAAATGCAGGCGTGAATCAAAAGAAATGGCAACAGAAAGCTTGCCCTGGGTGCACATTCTCTGAAATTAGTATGAGCATTTGTTTCACAAGGCCCTAAGGGGCTGCCCACTGTCCATGGGAGACAGGGCACAGGTGTTGACCCCTTATTTTATTCCTCCTCTATATATGGGAGATTAGACAGAAAGGCAGACAGACAGATATGTATATATACATATAGTAAGCGCTAACTCTACCATACCCCTTTGACTCTCCTAAAGGTCAAATGGAGATCACTTAAACCTGTAACTCCTTCCATGTTTCATGGGCCTTGATCTGTAAAATTTGCCAGCAGCCTGCTAATGAGGAAGATCCCACACATAACTCTCAGTGCTTTTAATTTCCAACAGGTATTTTAATAACTGGAGTCCCTGGGTGGTGCAAATGGTTAGCACCTGGAGATCTACTTCCGAAAAATCAGCCATTGAAAACCCTATGGAGCACAGTTCTACTCTGACTCACATGAGGTCGCCATGAGTCAGAATCAACTGGACAGCAACTGTTTCTGGTTCTGGTTATCTTAATGGCTGTCATGAGCTCTGGAGTACTCATGATAGCAGCGGGGTGGCCATTAGGCAACCTTGTCAAAGAAGGCTCTATGACCTCAAAGGAAACCCTGGTAGCGTAGTGGTTAAGTGCTGTGGCTACTAACCAAAAGGTCAGCACTCCTTGGAAACTCTATGGGGCAGTTCTACTCCATCCTATGGGGTCACTATGAATCGGAATTGACCCGACCACAACGGGTATGACCTCCAAAAAAAAAAAGCTGCTACTTAAATGCAAGGGTACAAAAGAAAATGAAGACCAGATTAAAAAAACAGAAGGTGAAAGTAAATACCTACCTCAGGCTATTTTCCCTCAGGAAAAAAAGGTCTTTCTACTTGGTAACCATAATAAAGAAGGGAAACATATGCCTTCTATGTAAAAATACCTGTTTTAAAACTTTTCAAATTCCACGCTCAGCTACAAAACAGACAATCCACATGCATTTACCCCCAGACGCCACAGAAGCGGCTCACCTCACTGAGGTAAATAAAAAAGGAGCAGGTGGACCCATCCACTCCGTAGTCTGCGTAGCAGGGATCCGAGCGCCACATATCTTTCATCCACTGAAACGACAAGAGCCGGACAAGAACATCTCTTAGCAGCCCTTTCTCGGGGCTCCTGCACATCTGCTGACAGAGGAGAGGATAGGGAGGCCAACGTTGGGGTGAATGGCTCACACAGTGGCCTAAATAACAGTGCGATAGAGTCCCTGAGCTCAGGTCAACACGACCATTGTTTAGTTCCTGAGTGATCCACAGGTAGACACTGGCTAGAGCTGGGCCTCACAGAGGTGCTTACACTGAAGAAGGGCCGTGGTACAGTCCAGGTAATAATGCCCAGGAGAGGCAATGGCTAGGAGAGTTTTATCAAAAGCAAGTGCCTACTGGGACCCTGGGTGGCAAAAATGGTTAAGTGCTCGACTATTAACTGAAAGGTTGGCAGTTTGAACCCACCCAGAGGCACCTTGGAAGAAAGGCCTGGCAATCTGCTTCTGAAAGATCATAGCCTTGAAAACCCTATGCACAGTTCTACTCTGACACACCAGGAGTCGCCATGAGTCAGAACTGACTCAATGGCAACTGGTTAGGGGTTTTTTTTTTTTTGGTTAATGGGATCCATGCATCTAAATATCCCCTGCTCAAAGAAACACAGTTTCACCTGCCCTTTGTACAGTTCCTGGAACAGAGTGTGGAATGAGTGAATGCACGTGCATTCATAGGCATCCTAACCCGAGACCATGGAAATGCTTCTAGGGTTTGGACTCACCATCCTAACTGCATACCTGAACTGAAACTTTCCTCTGAACACCATCCAGCAGGGAGTGGACTCCTGCGGGGCAGACCACATAAATAGGATTTAAAAAAAAAAAAATGTTCTTAAGAGTGAATGAGTGGCTAAGAACTTCTGGGTTATCAACCCCAAATGAAATGTGACATTTAAACCACAATCTGGAGACCACAGTGCGGGGGGCCTCGGGACTGTGGAGAGGGAAGCTAGGACACTAAATAAGAGCAGGCCTTTGTCATTGGCTCTGGAGGGATCGCCACTGAAGGCTGGGGTAAGACAGAAGGAAGGAGGCTTCAAAGGCATAGCAGGTGCCTGAAAAGGCCATGGCTATTTCAGTCTGACCCATCAGAGCTGTTGTCTGACTAACGACACAGAGGTGGCAGAAGAGAAGGGACTGTCACGGCCACAGCCCCAAACTGGCAGGACTGAGGCACTCCTTAAATAGCTCACTTGCCCACCTGTATGGGTGGGAAGGGGAAGGAAGGGGAGGGGATGATAATGCAGATTGAGGATGACAGAAATGAGCAGGCATCACGTCTGCCTTACCTTGATTTTCCCCTCACAGTGGGGGTAGCCATCCATAGGAGGCAATACACACTTTTCTTGAGCTCCATTAATAATATCTGTAAAAGATAGAAAACAGCAAAGGATACCATGAAGTTCATAAAAACACATGCCTAACATCCTTTCAAGCAGAGGAGGGAGAGAAACCAGGAGGAGGAGTCTATACTGGTAGCCAGCTGTGTTCTGACCCATGGAACCTCACCGGCTCAAACATGTCCAATTGCTCTGCAGCTGGGGACCTGACCTAAGGACAGCCTACCTCCAGGATGGTCACAGAACTATGACATGTGTGGCCTGGCTTGAAAGGGTGAGCTAGGCCAACCAGAGTCCTTGCTCTGAATTTGCAACTGGGAAACCACACAAGTAGCAAGCAGGAAAGTACGCCATGAGATTAGGAGGGTCCACTGGGGCTGGTGGGGCCATTCTCAGCAATGCAGGCATGATGATGAACTCAGGAGTGGACTTCTGAAGACATGGATGTGAGCAGGATAAAGGCAGGTGGATAGAGCTGGTGTGCAGAGGAGCAGAGAGCCCCAGGGCAGATCAGCTCTGACCTGAGGAACTCCCGTTCTGGTTCCATGAGGTATAGCTTCTTACAGACCTGGTTCTTAGATTTCCTCAAAGGTTTCCTGATTCCTTTAAATATTTTCTCACAACAAACTCTCTTTATGCTAGCTAGGATCTAGTGGATTCCTATTCCTTGTAACTAAAGAGGAAAAATGAAAAGAATGTCTTCAAGAATCTTATGGTCTAGTGGCAGACAACAGACAAGTAAATAAACAAGTGAACAGTTTAACAGACATTATTTTAGGGTGAGGCAAGGGTCAAACCCAGTCCCTAAGGGTCAAAGAAGGCTTTCTGGATCCAGAGACATCCTAGCTGAGATGTGAAGATGAAGTAGGCGTGAGCCAGGTAAAGTGAGAAGGTAGAGATGGCATCAAAGAACTGAGGCAGTTCCAAATGCAGGAATACATGCTGGCTTCAATGAAGAAGTGTGACGTATTGAGAGGACAGAGAGAAGAAGCAACGGGTCTCACACAGGAAAGGTCTCATAAGCCATAAGGACTTCGGGCTTCATCTTAAGGGCATGGTGGAGCACTAAAAGGTTTTAAGAAGGGGGTTCATATGACCAGATTTTTGTTCAGAAATGATCATTTGTTATAAATTACTATTAAATTACAATCCTAAACCTATGTGCTTCTCTTTTTGGACCTACTACATTTTCCAGAAATGCTTGGAAAATGTCACCATTGCTTATTTCTGACAGTTTTCTATACAAAGTACTAATCGGAAACTATCTCCCCATTTGACAGGGTATGTAAATGGCATCAGTGGCTGCTGGGGCTAAAACAGAAGTTAGTGCTAAGGAGGATTTTGACTGCACTGCCCCTTGAAAATCAATTCTTTTGATAATCTGAAACAGAGAAATTCTTGATCACTTGATTTAGTGTCTTCAATGAGCATTACAGTTGTGAAAGATAAGGATAGCATAAAATCAAAATCCTCCTTATCATGGATTAGGGGCAGTGTCATTTAGCAATTAAGATGCAAGACACTTAACTTGTTGAAGGCTGAGTTTCCTTATCTGTAAAATAGGAATGACTGTACCTCTACTTCATCCAGCTCTTATGAGAATTAAATAAGTTAAAATCTGTTAAGAGTCTGGTCTGGCACTCCCAATGGCTGATACTACCAACCACAGCAGAAAGTAAATATGGCTTTGGGGCCATAAGGTATCTGTCATAACTACTCAACCCTGCCACTGTTGTGCAAAATCAGCCATGGACAATATGTAAACGAATGGGCAGAGCTGTTTCCCATTACGACTTTATTTACAAAACCAGGTATAGACCCCTGTGCTTGTTAGGTTAAGAGATTCTCAAAATGAGGATCCTCACTTCTGCGAAGACCTGCTGTATGGATGTCTTTTAAGGATACCTTTAGGCATCCCTGTGCCTCCTTCTCACCCTCTTCTGCCCTCCACCCTTTCTCTACCAGTTAAAGCCCTTCCTCCCTTAAGACTCAGCAGAAGGATCATCTCCCTAAAGAAACAGTCCTTAACCCTTTCTTCCTGAGCTGTAGCATCAGGATTTAGGGCTGCTCCCTGGAGCACTGCCTCTCTAGGGAGTAGTCCTGTCATTTTCTTTGTATTTGACCATGTCGCCTCCTAGGGTGTGAGGATGTTATGGGAAGGTTACGTCGGGTTTTTTTTTTTTTTTTAATTTTATGCTGTGTAACTATCATCACCATCCATTTCCTAATTTTTCCATCACCCTTAACAGAAGCTCAGTGTCCCCTAACCAATGAGTTACCCTTTTTCCCTCCCTCCTTCCCCTGGTAACCACTAATAAGCTTTGACCTCTATACACTTGCCTGTTCTAAATCTTTCATGTAAAAACCCACTGCTGTCGAGTTGATTCGACTCATAGCAACCCTATATATAAGTGAGATCATACAATCTTTGTCCTTTTGTGATTGACTTACTTCACTCAGCATAACGTTTTCAAGGTGCAACCATGTAGTGGTATGCATCAGGGCCCATTTCTCTTTATGTCTGAATAATATTCCACTGCATTTATGTACCACATTTTGTTTATCCATTCATCTGTTGATGGACATTGACATCGTTTCCATGTTTTGGTTACTGCAGATAGTGCTTTAATGAACACTGGTGTACAAGTATCTCTTTGCATTCCTGCTTTCAGTTCTTTTCAGTATATGCCCAGGAGTGGAACTACTCAGTCACATGGTAATTCTATGTTTAATTTTTTTTGGGAGCCACCAAAATGTTTTCCAGTGACTACACCATTTTACAATCCCACCAGCAATGGATGAGGGTTTCAATTTCTCCACAGCTTCAACACCACCTATTGTTTTCTTTTTTTTCACTCATAGCCATCCTAGTAAGGGTGAAGTGGTATCTCATTGTGGTTCTTCTGATTTGTGTTTGGGAAGATTATGTTCTTTATGCTCCATTACCGGGCACTCAGTGAGGACTGTCTGAGCAACAACCACACACACACATGTGTTTCCGCCTGACCCCACGCTGAGGGAGAACCACACCGTGCAGGACACCTGCTAGTTCAGGGTTTTTAGTCCTCTTCCAGCTTTTTAGCTAATCCAACAGGGTCTTCTCTGCAATCCCATTATCTTATGACAAATTTTCTCCCATCTACTTAATCACACAGCTATGGGTCTGTATAGACAACAAAGATTTTCATTTAATGGCTAGCGGCTCTGGGGTAGGAGGGACTCACGGACGGGAGAAACAGGAAGTCCCAGGCCTTTGAGCATCGGCTGAGCTGCTTCCTGACCACAAGTTACCCAAGCAAGACCAACAGCACTTCGCAGCCGTGAGGATTTTCGGGTCCTTCATAGAGGATATCTCTCCATTTTGTTTCCAAAAAGCACGACATGACCTGTCAGAAGCTTATCATCCCAATGATGACAAAAGCCCTTAATAAATGATGTTTTTATTATTTTGTGTCCATGGAGAACTATCTTACTTCTGGAAGAGCCTCTAATCTAAGTTTGCTTAACAAATAATAATTCCAGCCAAAAGAGGTTAATGTTACTGCTTTTCAGAGACTGAGCTTAAAATATATAGGCCCCGTTAAAAGAGGGAGATAGGATTCTGCCAAGATATATTACTAGAATGGTCTCCCTGCTGCTCACCACAAGCCAATTTTTTTTAAACAGGGAAAGGGCAAAGAAAAAAAAAAAAAGATTTCAATGTTAGCATGAAATTCAGTTCTCACTACCAGCCCAAACTGCAAGCGTCTTTTCACCGAGAACTGGTACTGATTCCATAGCTCTGTCAAGCAGGTGCCTACACAAAAACCAAATTATGTCAGTGTGAGAATTCTGTTGTTTTATTGGTCACCGGACTGTACTCACACAATGTAGTAGGTACTCGATTAGTGGGCTTAATCTAAGAGAGCAAACCCTTCTATATCAAAAATGCTTAAGATTCAGGAAGGACACACACAGCAGGTTCAGGAGCAGCAAAGGATGTTGTAAATACACAGAGAATGGGTGTTCCTGTCAGCTGTACAGCTAGATTCTCCCTCCCAGGCTAAATATGCCTACATGTATGGAGAGACACACATACGGAGACGGAAAATGGTATTTCAAATACAGGCAGCTCCCAGGTTATAAATGACTTACGGACAACTTGTACCTAAGAATGGGCTGTCATAAAGCCTATTATATTAAAAATTTGAGTTAAATACAACCGCTCATAATAATGAATGCACCCAGTACTTTGTGATGCTCATGAAAACACTGCGTGCTTTAGAAACGTTTCTTAAGTGTTTTATGTGCATAAAAACATAAAATACATACTATATACTAAGACAAACATTTGACTAACTGATGCTAAATAAGAACTGTATGTACCTGTTCTGACTTACCTACAAATTTGACTTTAAAGACAGACTTAGGAACAGATTTCATTCATAACTCAGGGACTGCCTGTATGGATTTGGAAGTGTCAGGGACAAAGAGGTACAGAACCAGACAGATTTTCTTTTACTCGTGTTTTTCTCTGCCTCTGAGGAAAGAAGAAAACGGAAAGAAAGTCAGGATAGAGAAGGCAGAAGTAAATGGTAAAGATGGTCTCAAAAGGACATGAGAATAGAGAGGGTGATACAGGACAGGAAATGAAAGTTGATGATAATAACTTGCCTTGATACATTGCTTGCCTTTTTAAAGTGCTGTCACATACATTATCACCTTATACTTACCACATCCCCTTGAAAAAGGAAGAGAGTTACCTTCCCTTACAGTTCAGGAAGCAGAAACTTTAAAATCCTCAGCATCTACCTCTAAACTCAGCCCACAATCACTATAAACAATGTCTCTCAAAAGCCTGTTGCTTGTTTCTCATCTTATAACATGGAGGAATCTGGAGGTCATTATGCTGAGTGAATTTACTCAGTCACAGAAGGACAAATATTGTATAAGACCATTAACTAGTAAAAGAACTCAAGAAAAGGTTTAAACACAGAAGAAAACATTCTTTGATGGCTACGAGGGTAGAAAGGGAGGGTGAGGGTTA